ATTTATTTATTTATACTCCATATTCCATATATTTTGAATATATATATATATATATATATTATCTGCATGTATATTTTCTATTTCGACATGTATATTTTATATTTTTTGTTTTATTTTTCTTTCTATTCTTGTATATTTTGTAGTTTTGTTTTATTGTAAAATGCCTTTTATGCTGCTGTAACAACAATTTCCCAATTTGGGATCAATAAAGTACTATCTATCTAGTTAGTCTTAACAAAAAAGACTATTGGACAGCAGCAACTCTGTTACTTTAGTCATGGATTCATACATTAATTGTTAGCACATGTAGCTATAAGGTGTGAGCTGTGCTAAAGTCTGTTTGTGACCTTGTCAGCCCGAGCAGAGCAGCAGTCTGTTGAATTAAGCTGATAAGGACCTGCAATAAGTGTTCCTGCCTTGAAGCATTATGTGCAGTGAGATCAGCTCAGGTGTGGCGTTGGTGCTTTGACTTCATTAACTCCACACACTGTGCCACACCAGGATGTCCAAGCACATGGACACGCTGCTGAAAGGCAGAGGTGACAAGGTAAGGCAGAGAGGCCTCAAGGTTGGAGGTATTGAGTGTGTAAGAAAGGATAAGATGGACTTTATTGATCCCCTTAGGGAAATTCGGGTATTAAAGCAGCAACAGAATAAGACAGAAACACAGATAGTACACATAAGACCGTAAGAGACTGAGTAGCAGGGGTGTAGACTGTGAGTGTCGAGGCTTCAGTACAGTAATGCAATGCTAGCTGGCAGTGGAGCTTATGGCCGGATTAGTCCAGGCTCTCCCTCCCTCTCACTTCTCCTCTCTGCTGGTCAGAGGATTTACTGACGCTTTAACCAGATGCAACATAAACTCATTGGCCAGTCGACAGTGTCGGCATGTCTGCAGCGTTTGGACCGAATTGCTCCGTTAGTAAAAAAAGTTTTGGATTTCATATGACTTCTCTTTGACCGTGGCACTGAGGAAAGGGTGTCTGTGTTTGTGTGTGAGCTCCGTGTACACTGATGTGAGTCTTAACAGTGAGCCTTTGTAGTGGTAGTAGTGCTTTTGTGAGTTATTGTGAAAAGATGAGATTAAAACGGTAGTTATTTAAATCCTCAGGCAATTAAAGAATTGATTGGGCTTTTCTGATATTGGCAAAATATGTGATAATATTGTGATTCCAAAGTTACACATGTTTGATAAATATTAAAGTGTACAGCGCAACTAGAACAACAATTTAATCGTTCAGTGAAAATGGTGAAAAACTGTTTAACCCAGTTTCTCGAAGACCAAGTCTTTAATTAAATACCTTGTTTTGTCAGTTGAATACCCAGAGATATTCAGTTTAATTGTATGAAAAATAATTGTAACGATTACTCGATTATCAAAGTAGTTGCTGATTTTTCTGTCGTTAGATTAAAAGATTATTCGACTAATCGTTGAAGCTCTCCATGCAGACGTTGCCCATTACTTCCCCACTACAAGGAGCAAGGGCAAGTTGTGTTTTGTACACTGAAGTCCTCCAACAAATCAAATCAAAATGTATTTATATAGCCCAAAATCACAAAACACGTTAGTCTCAGTGGGCTATACAGATTAACAAACATAGTGGACAGTGTAAATAGATAAATACAATTACAAGAAAATAATAAAACCACAAAATAGAATGTGAAATACAAATAAAACGAGATAAAATACAACAAAAAGACAGTAAAAATACAATAAAACAATAGAAAAAATTCCATAAAATGTAGGACTCAGGAGGACAAACATAGGGTATTCTTAAAACAGCTCTAACTATAGGATTTATTCAAAAGCAAGGTCTTCAACAAACTCTTAAAAGTTTGGACACTGTCTGCCTCCCTGATTTAAAAACATGAGTTGGTCCAGAGAAAGGGAGATTGGTAGCTGAACGCTCTGACTCTTGATCTAATGGACTCTGGGAACCACTAACAGACCTGCACTCTGGGAGTGTAATGCCCAAGAGGGGCAATGGGGGATTAAAATATATTTTAAGTATTAATGTGCCTTTCCATTTAGTGCTTTGTAAGTCAAAACAAGTTTCAAATTCGATTGGGATCCTGGTGCAGAGCTGCTAAAATTGGAGTGATCTGGTCCTTTTTCCATGTTTTTGTTAATGTGACGGGCTGCAGCATTTTGTACCAGTGGAACATTTTGAATGGATGTGATGGGACCGCCTGATAAAAGGGAGTCTTAAAGCAGAGTAATAAAAGCATGAGTGAGTTTTTCTGCTTCCTTTTGAGTCAGGATGTATCTGATTTTTGTGATATTGCCGAGATGAAATAAGGCAGTCGGTGAAACGTGTGTGGCATTATCTTTGACGTCCTTGTTTCTCAAAAATGCAGCACACTCGCTGGTGGTGGTTATGCGTACTGTGACACATTAACAGTGTAGTGTTTGATCACCCTCGACCTCTTGTCCTGTGTCACTCTCCCCTGTCCTCGCTCCTCGCTCTCCGACTGATGGCCGCTCTGAATGTATGAGCGTCTCCCTGCAGCCTCCCTGCTCAGCGGCCATCTGTCGAGGCCTCAGTGCCAGGCTCTGTGTGCCAGAGCACGGCCCCCATCCAACCCAATCTTCTCCCCCAGCTGTCGGGCCTTCCTCCCCCAACAAACCCCTCATTGTCACCCGGGCCTCCATGCTAGCTCGTTGCTCTTGCCCTGTGTAAACGAGCAGCTAGCAGTTCATTTGCGTCAGAGGGGGAGTCTCCTATTAACCAGGACACCCCTCTCTCACTCTGAACGACACAGACGCTCTTTTGTTGTGATCACCTTGTATGTTCTGGTGGTTCTGTGCGTGTGTCGATCTGGGTTTAGGGGCGTCTCCCACGGTTTGTTATGTATTAAACGGGTTTCTGTTGGATTAGGAGCCTCACTGATATGTGATTATGTTTCAAAGATGTGACATGGATGTACAGTATAAGCCTGTGTTAAAGGGAGGGACCCAAGATCCAGAGTGTAATGCTGTCATGTATTGGTATGTGCAACTTCAACCACATATTATAGTTACCCACTCAAGGAGAGTTTAGATACAGGAAAGTTATTTTTGAAGATGTTTTATTGCATCTTGGATTGGTCTCTTCAGTAATGCTGTGATGTTGAAGCTGGCTTGCTGGTATTATAGAGACACTATGTTCCTCAATAGATGTGTTAAAAGGACAAAGTGCATATCAGATTTTCACTTTTCTTTAGCCAAATTAATTTGCAATAAATATATTATCGCTATCTCTATGGGTATATTAAAGTAATTCATCTTTAAGTTTGTATATCTGCGTTCCGTCTATTGTTATTTGTGATATGAATTTAAACTCAATGCCAGTGTAGGAAGTGGAGAGAGGGACTGTATTCATAAAAAAACTAATAACAAGACTACAAATAGAGGATTATTCAAATGACATTATCACGTGTGTGGGATGCATGTTATCAATACTTATATTGTTTGAATATTATGGTTAGTTGTAAACAAAATTGTTCAAGTATAAACTTGAGTACTTCTGTTCAAAATGATCACAGTTTAGCATGTTGGGACTATTGTGAAAACTAGGGTCGGTTTGATTGCAACACCACTATCCTCAGACAACACATAGCATTGAATTGTGACTCGAGGCGGGGCCAGCCAATCGGTTTTGAATCCAGATTTAGATGTGGGCGGTGGTGTTATTTGTCCGGGGTAAATGTGCGGTCTAGCCGCAGCTTTGATCATCATGTAATTGTTTTGCGTTGGGGAGTCTTACAGGATCCCAAAAGGCAACATCCTGGTAAAGAATGTTTTGTCGGTGTAATGTTGTTCTACATTCCTCTGCAGTGTAGTCAGATTGAAATCGGCTTAATGGAGGAGGAAGCTAAATGCTATCAACCTGAGTTACTTTACCCCCAAATACCTTTGAATAATGTATATATATCTACTAATGATATACTTTTTTCATATGCCTATGCTGGTGCGACAATCCCACAACCACCTGTCATCAATAAATACATTATCACCAGGTATCCAAACCACCATGAATCAAAATAAAAGCATAAAGACTAAATAAATGTTTAACTTAAATAATATAAATCAATGTATAGTTCCAACAACCATGATAAGCGCTCTATAGTGTAACCTGAACACCAGGCAGTGATCATATTGCCCCGTGGGCTGTGTTGCACTTTATCTGAGGTTCATTGAAATAAGTGAATCTCCTCGGGGACACGCATTACAAGGGAAGAGACGGTGTGTGTTTCTCCGTCTCTACCTTCCTGCTCCGTTTCAGAGACACTTGTTCGACCTGCTGGACGGGTTGTGGCCTGCGGCTCTGATGACACTCTGTCTCACGCTCTGTCTCACGCTCTGTCTCACGCTCTGTCTCACGCTCTCATTACCTGAAGGATTATTAATGTGATGTTATCTTTTAGACGCAGGGCTTGTCTTTTGAGCTCACGTAGCTAACGAGACACCATGGTTAACAGCACAAACATTCATTTTCTTTTTATGAAAGTAAGGTTAGAAGCATGGTAAGCAGTATTGAAAAAAACAAGGTTTGATTTTATATCTTAATCAAGATGTTAGTGATTGAGAAGAGGCAAAGAAACAAAGGGATACCACATGATTTTCTCTTAGATCATGTACGTAAAAAGAAAGTTGATTTACTCATGAAAACATCTGTTATAACTTCATTGTAGTAAACACCCCTAATATTATCTCTCCATTTTGTTAAATTACTGCATTTGTTTGTCATTTAAATACGGCTAACCATAATATGAGAGCAGGTGCTGGTTGTGCACAGCGCTGTGTGTACAGAGTGCCGACTCATAGTTTCTGATTCATTCCCGACATTGCTGTGCCGCCTGTTATCAATTGTTTGCCTCGTGATCTTTATTTAACTTCTCATGCCCTTTGAATTAGTTGTATGGTTCATTGTAAGCCCTAGTAGGAATGAGGGTTGTGTGGGTGGAGAATGCAAACTGTACAAGATCTAATATTAACTCTCCTCTTCGTCTCCTTTCAGCTGAGCAGCATCAGCAAGGCCATCACCTCCGCTGAGACGCCTGTGAAGGAGAAACATGTTCGACGTATCCTTTGCTTTTTTAAATAGTGGAGTTTTTCTGTTCTGTCTAGATCTGTGTGCTACTGCCGTTACATCACAACCTTTTTTTTTAAGTCAGTCATATGTAAGACATTCCTAGCCTATAAGTGTCTATCTTTTCAGATTTATTTGGTAATTGATTACCTTAACAGAGTGAAATGTCAGCACAGTATAGCCGTTATAATTTGGGGAATGTTTTTTCTAAAATGTGATGAATTTACTTATTGAACGTACTATTGGGGCAGCCTACAACAACAAGCCTTAACTAAGTGGACACTACAGGGAGAAAAAGGCATTTTTATTGGATGTTGAGGTCAAAGGGATGGGAATGCTTACATTAGGAATGGTACATAAAGTGGTTACTGTTGGGGAAATATTTTCCAAGGCCCATGACTTTGACCCAGTTTATCAGTTCATGCTGTCCTGACTGAGCACACGCACCTGTAGCCTTGGCTGCTGTGCTCTCAGTGTTCTGTCTCCCTGTTCCTGCCTGTTGGCGTCAGCTGATAGAGGTTATGATTCTATCTTGTCATGCACAATGTCGATTATTCTCTCTGAACTAGCTAAATACACGGGTCTGGGGTAGAGTTCTTCAGAATTGACGTGGCAACTCTCCCGTGAAGTCAGAACCTCTGGCTCTTAAACCATCAGTGTTTGACATCAAAGCTCCAGCTCTATCCCGTGTCTCCGTCCTGAGTCGGTGACTCCTCCTGCATTGCTACACAGAAGTTTCCCCCACAGTTACCATTAAGAATAATGTGTCCAACGAGGATAAAGTAATGGATGGAGTATTACAAAAGCTTACCTGCTATTTCTCACAAGTTTTATTATGGAAACCTAGCCTGGCCTTTGTTTTCAATTAATTGAGACATGGCTGCAGTCAGGGACTACAAATCAGCCCGGGACTCTCGACCGGCCCACTTCGGTACCGCCGGCCCACCTCGGTGCCGCAAGTAAATTATCAACGTGTGCACACATTAAGATACAAAAACACAAGAATCAATAAATACAAAATAACAGTCACTTCAATATCTTTGGGAATGTACATTAGTGCAAGATTGTCCATAGCAGTGTAAAAAAAGTGTCTGGTGCTGGATTTGAGTGTCTGAGTGTGTGGGGGTGTTAAAGTCCAGTGGGACATTGTGTGGGACATGGCCCGTGTTGTGTGTTAAAAATAAGCAGCCGTCCTGTGATAGTTTGTGCTTCCTTAACCACACGCCAACAGGAATCATCCTGGGGACTTACAGGGAGAAGGGAGCCTACACCTTCTGGTCCTACGCTCTGGGCTTCCCCCTGGCCAGCAGCTCCATCCTCAGCTGGAAGTTCTGCAGCGTTCTGCACAAAGTCCTGCGAGACGGACACCGAAATGTACGACACCAAGTTCTCTTTTCTTACTGTATATTACTGTCTATTGCACCAAGGAGTTGTGGAGTGATCAAAGACTGTTACAACGGCATCAGTTCAACATAGTGCTGAGAAAAATAATTATGCAATTTGTGGGTGTGATATAATCAAAAAACTGTGAAACCCTGCATGATGTCACGATTGAATTAATATTGTCTTTTTTTTCACAATTTGTCATTTTTCATCACAGTTTTTTTTATTATCTAGTATTAAAATCGAAAGTGGTTTACTATTATCTCTAGATTCAGGGTTTGTTCTAAAAGCCTCACATTTATGCTGTCCTCCTACAGGTTCTACAAGACTGCATGAGGCATCACACTTCTTTAGTGGAAATCGGGAAACTATGGGTGAGTATTTATAGGTTTTAAAAATAACTTTAACACATTTGATATCCTGTGAAGCGAGAATCGATGGATTTTCTTTCCTATTTGTATTAATTGTGCTTAATCCTTGATTTCCAGAGCAACCTCCATGACAAATACGGACAGCTGGTGGCTCTGTATACCAAACTGCTCTGCACAAAAATGGAGTTTCATGCAAAGGTAAGAGTGTCCTCTGTCGCATGTTACACACCTCAAGGTATGCTAGGTGCACATGATGAAGGGTTTTGCGTAATGTTAGGAATTTACACCTTGATTTAAACCTCTTAAAAAAAATGTACCTCTGCAGCATTCAGAAATCCCACCGAACCTGGAGGCATCAGATGAACTCCTGGAGCGCACCGCAGGGACCGACGTTAATAATGTGTGAGTTACCGAATACTGCTAGAAGTATGTTTGGCATTTACTGCTCAATTCTACTCATTTTGTACAGCAGCTACATCTTTTAATATCTGCACAGCTTTCCACAACAATGATGCACATATTTTATTTAATTGTATTATTCTGAGTATTTTGTCTACTATATACTGTATGTAGTTTTTTGGTATATCTATAAATAATTATTAAACCAAGGCAATTTCCTCGTTACCTGTTTCTGATTTAGTCATAAGCACAGCCAGTGGCATCCAAAGCATGTAAAAAAACTAACGGACATGCCCTGCTGCTCTTTTCCCCACACAGGGTCTCATGGTCATTGTTTCCTAGTGGGCTTTCTCTGTGTTAACGAAGGTATCAACTTCTCTCCTGCAGGTTCCAGCTCACAGTCGAGGTGTTTGATTACTTGGACGCTGAGCTGAGGCTGGCCGAGACAGGTGAAAAAAAAAAAAAACCTCCTCCCACCTCTCCCCCATCCTACTCTTGCAAGGATAAGAAACTTGAGCTAAAGTAGAGAGCTGCAACCCGCTGACATTATCTATTAATGTGAGAGCCCTTTGAAGAACGGGTTATTGTGAGCGCCTCTTGTCCTCCCAGTTTAAACAGTCTTTTTTATTGTAAAGTGATACAAATCAGGTGGTTCCACTTCCAACTCATGTGCTCCTGACTAAATTAGGTTTAACTGGTAAGGAAATGCCTTCAATTATGGGACATTAAGTTTGTTTCCTGCAGTGCTCTGCTCCTCCCAAGCCTGCAGGGTCACGTCTAAAAGAAAAAGGGTTTTCAGCTGCACTGTGAAAGAAGTGTACTCTTATATGGTTTCTCAGTCTCAGCACTATGTGTTGGAGTAAGGCACCTAATCTCTTTAGTAATGTTCCCATGTTGCTGAAAGTGTGTTGCTACCTCAGCAGTTAGCAAGCCACTCGAGTAACAAGAGAACACACACGTGAAAACTCACTCTTCAACAGTTTCTGACTTAATGGAAGAGTTGCCCTTTCAGCAGAATTTACATAATGGGTTAAAGAACATCAGGAGAGGCTGTTTTATAAAATGTGTTATTTGATATAACTTTATTTGTACTCGATCAGTAGGGGTTTAATTTCATTCAACATTACACCAACAATCAAACATTAAATAATACCAAAAAATGAACATACATAATATGATATATCGGGAATGTATCCAACAACAAAAAAATCATTAATCAAAGAACAACAAAGTTGATAAAGTGGTTGTCATTTAAATATTTGTGTATCCTTGCTAAACAAAAACCCTCCCACCCATACAAAGGAGAGGCTTTTTAATCATCAAAAAAGGACTAGACAAAGTCATTATTTTTATGCATATGTGTGCTGCAGCTCAAAAAACTAAAAACCTTCACAACGGATTGTTTTGTCTGTGACTGTCAGAAGGGATACTTGTATGTACTGAATGCTTCTGTCTCTGATCTCCCTCCCAGTGATCCGACAGCTCAACACATCCATCGCCATCTCCACCCTCACATCAGGCCAGTGTCGCCTGGCTCCTCTCATACAGGTCGTCCAGGACTGCAGTCACCTCTACCACTTCACCGTCAAGCTGCTCTTCAAGCTGCACGCCTGTAAGAACAGCTCCTTTCTAGCTTAAACATTACGGGATAAATGGTCAAAATAAAGTGTAATATATATAAATATAAGGCTACATTTTAAGATGATTGTTTTTTTAATCTCGAAGCATAACATCGTTCTTCTTTGTCTTCAGGTCTCCCTGCAGACACCTTACAAGGACACCGTGAACGTTTCCATGACCAGTTCCACAGGTAGGTTAAACACGGCTTCAGGCTACAAGCGCAGAGATTGACTGTGAAAAGAATGACTCTCTCCCCGTTGATGCAAAGAAAGTGAGAAACATAATACTGCCTCGCCCAGCAATGACCCATGCAAATGTGCCCATCACTGCTTCCCCTCCCGCCCTACGTGGTGTATCAGTTGGAGTTCCCAGGGTTTGAGGAGATGGTGCAATTAGAGTCTGATATTTATCACAAATTATGTAGTTCGATTTGTTTTCATTGATGCTCATTTGTCTCTTATTGAAATGAAACGGTATGCCATACTTACCTGTGGATTTTCCAGGGGTGCCAGTGACAAACGATTGGAAATTAGACACTTTCATATTTTTAAAGCCACCTTCTTGGCAATTCTATATTCAATGTTTTTTTGTGTGCCACAATAGTGTACAGTTATTGAGTTAACATATTATCATTTTGGGGCTTTAACAAGCAAATATTGATATATGTGACTCGCTCTATCGAAATCAGTCGGAAGTCGCAACGGCTCATTTCAAAATAAACGTGGATTTGCGTAAAAAAACTAGTTTTTCGGGGTTCGGGTGTTTTGTTTGATTTTAAATAAACAAAGTCTTGGCTTTCAGAATATGAAACTTTTATTTCCAAAATCACACGATAAATACATTTGTGAAGCTTGTAAAGGGAAGATGACAGGCAGCTCTCACTCGCACTCTGCTCTTCCGTAGCGCAGCCCCCCTCCCTCCGGCTGAAATTATGAATAAGGCGTATAGTCATCATAGATAACACGGCAGGGTCCGTTACGGTTTGTTTTCATCTGATTTCAAATAAACAAAGTCTTGGCTTTCAGCATATTAAACTTGTTTCGGCAAATTCAGATGATAAATACAACTTTGAAGCTTGTAACGGCATAATTACAAGCGGAGAACGGAGTAACTTAACGTCACAGCAGGCATAACAACAGCCGAGTGTTTTCCCCGGGAAACAAACACAATATACACTTATGCAAAAATACACAAACACACACACACACACATACATACACACACACTCGCAAGCTTCCCCCAGACCAGTAATCCAAACGAAAATATTTTCCCTCCGTACTACTTTGATCATTTGCTCCGCTAATAACCAATCAGATCGATGGATTCCAGAGAAGAGGAAACTTTGAAGGCCTTTTTCTCAAAATGATGAATCGGTGACAGTCATTATATAATGTGACATATTTTGCTTAATATTTGGAGTACAACAACAATCCTGATATCATTAGAAAGCTAGGAATCTCCTCTTTCTAACAGTGTATACAACTCAAAATGTGTCTTCGGGTCAATGCGACTGATTTCGATGGAGCAGGTCACATATATTCGGTTGTTTTAAAGATATGGCCATAGCCTCGGCCATATACTTTACATACTTCACATGAATATTTCACTAGATCAACCACATTACCTGCCAATTTGAATAAAAACACATGAGCCATCTATTTTAAGTCCTAAGCTTATATTAACTTGTTGTCTTTTGTCCCACAGCCTTAAGACTTTCTTCAATAGAGCCAGAGACATGATTTACTTCAAGAGACTGATCCAGATCCCCAAGCTGCCTGATGTAAGAGTCTGAGACCTAAAACTGTTACAGTCTGCTACAAACTGGAGAAATTATTGACATAGACAGCTAAGCTATGTTGAACCTTTCCATTACGTTTTTCTCATAGTTGACCAAATATATCAATCAAAATGTACAGTTTTACCCACCTCTATCTGTCTCCTTTTCAGTCCCCTCCTAACTTCCTGCATGCAGCTTCCCTTGCCAAGCACGTGAAGCCAGTGGTGGTTATCCCTGATGAAGACTATCCAGAGCAACCTGACGACGATGATGACGAGCCCGAGCCGGAGCCGCTCATCGAGGTCAGCGAGGTCTCAACATCCAGCATCCAGGCACAGCCACAGGTACGGCTCATAATCGCGGATGTATTTTCATACACAGATGCTCATACGCTAGTAAAATGACCAAGTGAGAGCTTTCTTTCACTTATTATTCAACTTTTTCTCAGCAACTGGACATATTTGATCAGACGTTTGGACCCCCGAATGGAGGCTTCGATGACAGGTGAGCCTATGGTTGTTTTTCATGTAATGTGATTGTAAATCTGACTTTTTGGTTTCAGTGTGCAATCTGTGCAGCACATCATAACTCTGTGTTTTCTCTCTGGCAGGGATCTCCAGATTGAGAACATGAAGCGAGACCTGGAGCTGTTGAGAGCTGAACTAGAGAGAGTCAAATTGGAAGTAAGGACTGTTTGGACTGAACCACCTATTGCTTAGCTGTCAGTGTCTTGTATGTGCACAGAGGAGGCGTGACAGCAGAGGGCGTTATTATCTATGTGCGAAGGAATCTGGGTCATGTGTTGGGTGGAGGCAAATGCTGCTCCTGCCATGTGGAATGTGGCAAGTGGCCTCTGAACGAGAAAAGGGAGTCCAGTCGAGTCTTTGACGTCACAAAAATGATTCCAGCCTGCAACATTTTTTGCTTCCTATACTCATACTTCCTCTTTCTGCTGTGCCCCATGTTTTGGCACAAAAGGTAGACTCAAAGTAAAAACATCAACATATAGCATTTATCTTGTATCATGAGATGTTAGTGTTTGTAAAATGTGTAATTCAATTCAATTCAAGTTTATTTATATAGCCCAAAATCACAAATCCTATTTGTCTCAGAGGGCTTCACAAGTCAACAAACACAATTGACAATGTAAAACAATGTAAAAACAACAAACGTAATTTAATGTAATGAAATGAAATCAATAGATTATTACTAAAGTACGGATGCCTCCTTTATCTCCTGTAGGCTCAGCGTTACATCACACAGCTGAAGTCCCAAATCAACAGTTTGGAGGCAGAACTAGAAGAACAGCGTGCTCAGAAACAACATGCTTTTGTGGAAAATGAGCAACTGCGCATGGAGCTGGAGGCTACGCGCCGCCGAAACGCAGAACACGAGAGCACGCAGGTCGTCTTCATCGAAGCAGAACGTAAGACACACACAGTCAACACTATCTCTAACATACATGGAGGAAAAGTGCATGAGATAATACTGTCATCTCCTTTTTGCTGTGCAGAAAGAGCCCAGGCCACTGAGCAGCGGTACAATAAGTTGAAGGAGAAGCACACAGAGCTGGTGTCCAGCCACGCTGAACTGCTGCGGAGGGTACAGACAGATTGCAGACAAGTTAAATTAAACGTTAGCACCTGGCTGTTGGTTGTGACACTAAATGTGTTAATGTGTTAATGTGTTGACAGAGTGCAGACACTGTGAAGATGCTGTCAGCAACACAGCAGACACAGGACGAGGTGGAGAGGACCAAGCAGCAGCTGGCCTTTGAGGTTGATCGAATAAAACAGGAGGCCGACATGAAGGTTTGTGGGGGTTTTTTTTCTTGAAACATTAACGATTAAGGTGGCAGTGCTGTTAAAATGTATGCAAACAATGTTGTCATTGTAGCTGGAAGAGCAGAAGTTTGAAATGGAGAAGCTGAAGAGAGCGCTGGACGAGAAGATGGCAGAAATGATGCACATCAAGGGGACTCTGCAGAGCAGCGAGATGGTGAGCCGTCAGCTAATTCACCACCTTGTAGTATTTAGAGATGTTCCATATTCAGAGGCTCAAGGCATGTTACACATATCAGGAATGTCCTTCCGACGCTCACGGCCATCTGCCTCTTCTGGCTTTCCTCATCGTTCTCTCTCTTTCTTTGCCAGACGTCGGAGCAAATGAGCAGCTCAATGACGGCTCTGCAGGCGGAGAAAGAGCGCCTGATGCGATCTGTGAGCGAGAGGGAGGCGGAGCTGTCGTCTCTGAAGCAGACGGCCACGCTGCAGCAGTCCTCCCTCCAGCAGGAGCGAGAGAGGAGCAGCAGGGAGATGGTAGAGCTGCAGGGCAAACTGCAGGAGAAGGTCAGTCAGCATCAAGGCATTCAGTTTTATTCAGCACTGTTTTAGGTGTCTTTAAAAAAAAAAAAACATAGCTTGCAGGTTCATGATTTTGAGTGATTTCTTAATCCCAGGTGTCGCATTACAATCATAGGCAAATAAACTGGGCATATTCTGAGGGCATATTTGTTCAATTGCTATGTTAACATGAATTGCAATAAATAAACTTTAATCAAATCATTATTTACAAATTATAATGACGTTCCGCTAAATAAGGATGTGGGGTTTTTTCCATGTCTATTTATAGGCATGCAGTTTAGAGTTGTACAAAACAGGAAAGAAAAAATAAAATAATGCCTTACAATCAATGTTTAAAAGCTTTTAAGAAACCATGCTGTGACAAATAATGGCGTCCAACATAGTCCATGTCACACACTCTACCATCCGATTCCATTATAATGAATGGATGAAGAGGAAAAGGCCTTGAAGCACAGTTTTGTTTTTTGTACAAAGTTAGTTTAATCTAAAACATTTATCAAATATTCAAACCATAAAGTAAAATGGCTCTAAATCGTATTGTTAATAAAACTGCATTGTTGTTTCATGGGATCTATATGTGTGTGTTTGTGCATGCAGTCGAGTCAGGAGGAGCAGCTGAAGCAGAGGCTGCTGGAGGAGCAGTTTTCTCTGCTGCAGGGCACCGTCAGCGAGGCGGAGAACATCATCCAAGATGCTGTCGCTAAACTGGATGATCCCCTTCATATACGCTGCACCAGCTCTCCAGGTCAGACCCCTGCTGTCATTACAGCAAACATCAACTGATCAGATTAACATCAAAGTGAGAGATGTGAGAGCGTTAAATGAGTAAAGAGGACCATGACCCTAGCTGGTTGACCATAAGTCTTTTTTCTAATCTGGAGACTCGATCTAAGCTTTTGTTCAATTCTCTCAATCCCCCGTTTGTCCTCGAAACACAGATTATCTGGTGAGTCGGGCGGAGGCCACGCTGGGCTCCGTGGACAAAGTGAAAAAGGGCCATGCAGATTATCTGAGTAACATGGGGGGTGAGTTTGCTCTCTCTCTGATTCATCACCATGCTGCTGACCTCATGACAGATGTGTAAATGTGGCCTGCTGCCCCCTTACTGTATGCTCCTGTCTCCAGATGCTGGGGGGCTACTGAGGGCGCTGACCCAGTTCTCCCACTTGGCTGCGGATACAATCATCAACGGCAGCGCCACTGCACACATGGCCCCCACCGACCATGCAGACCGTAAGGAATATTTTAAATGCACTTCCTAGAGGCCTTAAACAGACCCTCCTAATGCGTTATGCTTCAATATATTTGTTTAACTCGCAGTTCTGATGACTTGTTTGGCTACAAAGATGTGTCGATGTTGTGTGACTCGCATTTAACCCAATTTAAAATATTTTTCACACTCACTCAACAAAGGAAATAGGGCCTTTACAATAGTCAAACAAATCAAAACAAGAGGCAAAACTCAAATGTAATAAACTAACAACTTAGATCGTCTTTCTTTCTCTACGTTGTGTAGGATAATATAACTTAATGGTTTAAAAACTGCATCAAGACGACCTCTTTCAGACAGGGTGCCCATCTCTGTGTTCCTTAAGAGGCTGGTGGGAAATGTAGTCTTTCATAGTCTCCACTACATAGGTCACGATTAGGTGGCAATATTTGGCCTTTTCCACAAAACAAATCACTGGCTCTTACATTAACCTTTGGCATCACACCAGTTGTGATTGTAGTAATCAAAACATTAACTTTAAATTCCTCACGCTGCTATAAAGAAGTGAGTTTTAAGTCACTGTGAAAAAAGGAAGGTATTTTTATGTTTGATAGTTGATCACTTTTGCTCTTTTATTCCCTACAGGACTGACGGAGAACTGCAGAGGCTGTGCCACTGAGAGTCTGCAGTTCTTCAAGGATCTGAAGACAAAGACCACCCTCCAGAGGGCAGACCCTGCCGCTATTCGCGTCATCGTTCAGAAGATCCTGAACCTGGGCCAGGTGAGAGCAGAGCTGCGACAATCAGTCTGCTAATCTATTATTGTTTCATCTAAAAATTAAATGGACAACTATTAGTTTTTTAATAATACTAATTAATTAGAGGACATTTTTCATGCAAAAGATGTAAAAATGAAATCAGCTTCCAGCCTTTCATATTTTCCTTTCTTCCTGTATTTTATTTAATTAAGTTGAAAGTCTTGTTTCTATTTAAACCCACATATATCAGCATGGACTTTAAGACACTGGGAGGAAACTTTTTTGCTGTTTTATGATATTTTTAGACCAATTGATTAATCTATAAATTAATCGGCAGGTTTAGAAATATTGAAAATGATTTTTAGTTGCAGCCGATGAAATCTTTATTCCTTCATCAAGACCATTTGCTTTCCATTTTCCCCTGTGATCTTTTTAGTCCTTCACAATACAGTTAACTTCTTTATCACTGCTAATAACTTCCCCTCTTGTTGTACTTAGGAGCTGCGACCAAAAGGCATGGATGTTCGTCAGGATGAGCTCGGAGATCTGGTCGATAAGGAAATGGCTGCAACCTCTGCTGCTATTGAGGAGGCCGTCCGCAGGATTGATGTGAGTGTTATAAACTTTAAGATGTGCTGAAATGATCTGCGATAAATCAAGCTGTAATATTGTACAGTGTCGGCTGTAACTCATGTTCAATGTGCATGGTTCTGTATTTAGGAAATGATGAACCAGGCTCGAAAGGACACATCAGGAGTTAAACTGGAAGTCAATGAAAGGTTTGTTCATTTCCAAATAATGAATAAAGACATCCAATGCCTCGTGTTATTTGGACTTACTTCATTGAAGGGTATATTTAGTTGTAACCTTATTTCTTGCAGGTTTTTTTTATTTGTATCCAATTCCCAGTTGGGTATATTTTGTTATGTTATTCTACTTCTTCCAGTTTAACAGATTAAAGCAGCGCACCAGAAGGGTTTTGAATGCTATCACATTATGCATATTAGATACAAAATTAGAATAGACATCATTAAGGCAGTAATGGGACACAGTAGCGACACAATAGACCTCGCATACATATGTGCATTTGTTCTAACTTTACTATTTCACTCTTTTACAGAATCCTCAACAGCTGCACCGACCTGATGAAGGTACTGTAGTTTGATGTGTTTCCACTAACATGCTGCCATGTTTTACCCTGCATGTGTCCTGTTTGTAATAAACATTGTTTAATCCTCTGTAGGCCATCCGCTTGCTGGTCATAGCATCTACAGACCTGCAGAAGGAGATTGCCGAGGGTGGGAGGGTGAGTCACACTCTCATTTTAAACACAACCTTGGCAGCTTGCTTTTGTTTCTGAGATCTTCAGCTTTATTCAGATCAAACTTACAGTAGTTTTGTTTTGCTTGTTCAGGGCGCAGCCAGCTTGAAGGAGTTCTACGCCAGAAACTCTCGCTGGACGGAGGGACTGATCTCTGCTGCCAAGGCGGTGGGATGGGGAGCCACAGAGATGGTGTAAGTCATACAGGACATTACATCATATATTCTTTCATTTTAATACCTGAACATGTACATTTTGTTTTGCAAAGTTCATGTGTCTTTATGACAAAAAGATTATTGCAATTGCCAATTTTAGGTTGCATCTAGGATTTTCACAATACCAGTTTTTTAGTACATAACCTTAGTGGTCAAAAGAGTTCCCAATAGTAATTTACTTGTATTACCTATAAAATATTTGGAAAAAAGGTATATTCTGTATCTTTGAGTGTCATACTTGTCTGAGAGAGTTTGTAACACTAACTGTTCAAAAAGAGTACAAAAAAAACAGTTTAATAAAGAATAGTGAAAAGGCACGCAGATGAATTGATTAACAAAAAATCAACAAGGCAATGATTGAAGGGCAGCTCGACTTGACTATCATGTGTGTATTCATAAAATGACATAGTTATTTATTCATTAAAATATCATCTTCGTCTTCTATGCCAGTATATCGCAACATAAACCTCTTGATAACGTTGTCCCCTGCCTCCTCACAGGGAGTCTGCTGATAAGGTGGTGCTGCACACGGGCAAATATGAAGAGTTGATAGTCTGCTCGCATGAGATCGCTGCCAGCACTGCACAGCTGGTCGCTGCCTCAAAGGTAATGGGCTCATTTCCAGTAGAAATGTTGATATTTTACATTGTGTAATGAGGCTGTTGGTTTAGTGTCTGACCTTTGACCCTGCTCTCTGTACACTCAGGTTAAGGCAGCCCGTGGCAGTACGAGGCTGTCGGCCCTGCAGCAGGCCTCCCGCCATGTGAACGAGATGGCAGCTAACGTGGTCGGCTCAACAAGGACGGGCCAGGAGCACCTGGAGGAGAAAGGTGAGGACAATTAGATCTGTGAACTAGACGGATGTAGTATTGCATTCAAAATGTTACCCAAGTAAAAGAACAAAAGCATTAAAATCAAATTCTACTTTAATACAAATACTTATTCTGCTAGACAGCCCATTTCAGAATAATATACAGGACATATTGGGTTATGATTGTTGATGTCTATGCATTCATTATGTGTTCACCACTTGCAGCTGGTAAAGGTGGAGTTCATTTTTACTGCAACGTAGCTTGTGAATTTCACCCAGGGATCTATACAATTGAACTTAACCTACAACAATACATGATTTGATTTGTTTTATTCATCTTAATCTGAATCTGTTAACTCTTAAATGTAGGAGAGTAGACCACTGTAGACTCTGAAGGGCATCTGTCTAATAAAACCACTTTTCCTGTGCAGAAACGATGGACTTCTCTGGGATGTCTCTCATCAAGTTGAGGAAAGAAGAAATGGAGTCACAGGTAAGTCGTTGGACTTGAGGGGTTTAAAGAGTAGCTGCAAAAATCTGCAAGTGTATCTGAGCCTTGATTTAGAAACTGTATATGTTTAGATACTGATAACGATCAGTCTGCATATATGTTAATAATAAACTTTAATTAAACACACGTCATGTCATATTCCTGTAACCAATTTTTTAATATTGAGCTCAGAAGGATACATTTTTTAAGTGTGTGTTTCATTATCAGTTGCAAAGCTTATCTTAACCTGAGGACTACCAATTGATATTGATTTATCAAGCCATAAATAAAAGAAAATTAAAACACAGTTAAACACTGAAATAATCCTGTAATACCTTGCTATGAACAAGTCGTTAGATCTCAGATAAGAGTAAGTCATTTGACATGGTGGGGTCTGTTTATTTCCCGCCCCTCAGGTCAAAGTGCTGGAGTTGGAAAGTCAGTTGGGGAACGAGCGTCTGCGTTTGGGCGAGCTGAGGAAGAAGCATTACGACGTGGTCGGAGTTCCTTCAGAGCCGGTTTCTGAGGGGAACGGAGGGACCTCCTCGCTGGCCTATCCTGCCAACATGTCACCAAAACCCAGCAAGCCGGTGCTTTTCAAGAAGCCTGCTTTGGCCCAGAAACCCAACCTCCTACCCAAATCCATGGTGAGGGCTGTGGAGAAAATGCAGTGGTAGATGAGGAAATGGGATACACTTTGATAAACAGGTGTGATCTAGGCACTCCAAAAATAAGTAGTAACAATAATACATTTTATTTAAGCGCTTTATCAGGTGCTCAAAGATGCTTTACAGAGGTAAAAAAAACAAGATAAAAAGTCTAATTTAAAATTGAGCAATAAAACCACATTTATCACAAGAACACAACATCAATCACACATTAAAAGCTAGTTTAAAAAGGTGAGTTTTGGTCAGTTTCTTTGAAAGTGGAGAGCAAACAGGATGATTATTAAAAAGAACTTTAGTTGTAGTGTCTTAATCATGAAAAAGTCAATAAGCCAAGCCCTGACGAAGACCCACAGTGGTCAAATACATGTTGGCTTTTTTCAGGATTTACCCACAAAATGAAAGGTTATGTAATATCCTTCCACCTGACAGATCATCTCCGATTGAGTTTACATGGCTCTCTGTCTTTCATTGGAAACAGTGGGTGTTTCTCAATGTCGAGGAAGGCTGCTCCAGAGCCACTATTTCAAGCATACTACGTCATCGAGTGCCGCCGAAGGACTGTTCCAATGTCCAGCATACTTGGAATTATACCGAGGCCGGCGTACTTCGTAGCGAGAAATTTCGAGGCTGCACATGTGTAGACTCCGCGGTCTTAAAATCCCCACAATGCTTTGCGCACGGACCAATTTCCAAATCTTTGGCGGAAATAGCGCTCCATTTAAGGCGGGGCCTCTCGTATGACGCACACCTGCCAAGCAAGCGTCCTCGACATTGAGAAACACCCCCTGTGTCGGTATACATGTTTTTAATCAGTCTCTTTTCTTCTGTATGTTGCAGTTCAAGTAATGCCGGAGCAGAAAAGGAACATTCTCCACTACTGGATGGTTGGATTGCCCAGATTAGGTCCTCTTGTTGTGAACATACTGTTACTTTTAAGTTGCATGCTGACAATCCTCTGCATCTCATGGTTTTCTCCTTTCTTTATTCATTTGTTTTCCGCCAAAATGTCCCAATGGTGTTTGACCCTTGATGCCTGTTAGGAATATGCTGTGGTTCCCCCTGCCCCCTTTACTCTTTTCCTCTTTTAGAGAATTGATACATATGCCATGCAGGCAAAACCCTTTTTTATTTAAGTATTTGGCATTAATAACAAAACAGTTTAATATTAAAATGTTAGGCTGTGTCAAAGTATTTCTTTTAGCAGATGATGGTACTGCTGCTGCTTTTAGAATAAAAACCTTTATTCAAAAAATCACAAATTGACAGAATAAGTTCCTCCTGCTTTGGACAACCTTTTTGCACAATATTGTTAATGTTTATTAAAAAGCACATCTAATTTCTCTTAATGTACACTGTATGTTATTTATGTTGTGGTGGGCGGTAAAGGACACTTGGGAATCACATTGTGTGCGTCTATGTTGCTGCAAAAGTTATAAATACCTCTGGGTTTGCCTTCACAGTGGACACTCACTTTTTTTATGTGCAAAACAGCTTTTTATCGCAACAGTTCAAGATGTAATTTGAGGCCTTGGAATGTACTGTAAAAATGAATGATGGAATCAAAGCTGTCTGACATACAGTCTGTACAGCAATCTGCCACATGCACCATGTTTCATTTAACTTTAATATCTTATCAATAATCTACACTCACCTCTTGAATGTCCCTTTATTACAGGAGAACCTGGATACTATGCTAAAGCATTAAGAAAGACTTCATGCTTGCACACAAATATTGGATGTAAGCGTCCTTGATAATCAAACGCTTGTTTTAGGCTAAATGAAGATGTAGGGTTAGTTTATGTACAATATAAAGTTCTCTTTGCCTCCGGGAGCTTTTCATACAGGGTCTTAAATGCATCTTTTATGTTCTTTCCTTTCCTCTGTACGAAATGTCTTTATACACTCAGATCTATTAATATATTTTAGTAAAGATAATAGTGATTTCTCCTTGTAAGAAGTGTAAATGTCAAACAAATGAACAATAAATGTTTGATTGTAATGTCCCATTGTGTTTCCTTGTTTCGATCCAATTAACCTTTTTCTCCAAGTTGCATGTGTGCAAAGATTTGAGCAACATCACAACATGTAATCACACACAAAGCACAAGAAAATAAAGAAATATTGATGGTTTTCTCCTGTTCTTTTTCAACAATATTAAACCGGCTTTAAACTATTATCTCTAAAATTAAATAAAACTCATTTGTTAGGTTGCTACAATTAACCAAAGTTCACTGTTTGCTCGGTCTATAACTAAAACTGATGAACATCACTATACAAATAATAAAGATATTGGTAAGGTTAGTAGCTTAAAATAAATGTATACATTATTTTATTTTCATAGTTTTACCACTAATTCACTTATGTTAATACATACATTATATATAACGTTATAATTGTATCTAAATGTGTTGTATATATTGCTTTATTATAGGCTGCTTGTAGGCCCAGGTTGTGTTGGGTTATTTTAAAATTGTAATGGTGTGCATAAAAGGTAATGCACCATTATTATGCAGCATTATTACTGACATGCGCACAACGACTCAACGTGGAGGCACAGGTGTTGCATTCATGAGCCATTGTAAATAGGATAACTATACTATAACGCAACTTTTCAAACTCCTGCCGATATGACATTTGCGGATTAGGACTATACAGTACCAATATATAGATAATGGCAATTTGCATAATGAGTATGTTGATACAAGTATATTTAGATGCCAATACTTTTGTACTTTTACTTGAGTAACAACAACACTGGTTCTTCTACGTGTACTTAAGTACAACATCGGAGTACTTCTCCAACCTGTCTCTGTCATCTACTTTAGCCAAATCTGCAAACTAAGGAAGATATTAAATAAATGTAGTGGAGTAAAAGTACACTATTTAGTATTTACCTCTGAATTGTAGTGGGGTTTGGGGTAGAAGTACAAAGTAGCAGAAAATTGAATTACTCAAGTAAAGTAGAAATCCCTCAACATTGTAGTTAAGAACAGCACTTGAGTAAATCTACTTAGTTACTTTATACCGCTGACTTTAGTAGCCTACATCTAGAATTTGTGTTCCCGTTTCGCTTCTGACATGTACGAGTTGTCGTGGTGACATTGAATGCAGCGTCAAAAGCTCTGCAGCTGCGGACGTCCGACGTTGGCAAAGTTTAAACTGTCAACAAACTGACACAAGTTGTACCGAGTTCAAACCATGGTTCAAACAGGCCTCGGCTAGCTTGAGTTTTTCTACACAAAATGTGAGCTTTCTGTGAGTGTCGTAAGAAGAAGACAGATATGTTTAATGTCGGTTATTAAAACAGAGGACACTCATGGAGACCTGCGGGATAATGTCAGCGCTGGACCGACCCGCGGCGGAGCTGACGGTCATGGATGTGTACGACATAGCGGCGGTGCTGGGACAGGAGTTTGAGCGGATCATCGACAGGTTCGGCTGCGAGTCTCTGGTCGGGCTGGTGCCCAAAGTGGTCCGGGTCCTGGAGCTGCTGGAGGCCCAGGTGAGCAGCGGGGCGGCCGGGCAGGAGGCCGAGGAGCTGCGGGGGGAGCTGGACCGACTGAGGAGGGAGAGGAGTGACAGGTCCGAGCAGGAGAGGAAGCAGCAGAAGGTCCGTGCGTGTTTACCTGTCTGTTTAACTGTGTGTTTAACTGTGTGTTTACCTGTGTGTTAACCTATTTACCCGTGTGTTAACCAGGTTAACAGACAGGTTAAACATGTCTGTTTACCTGTCTGTTTACCTCGGTGTTTACCTGTGTGTTAACCTTTCTGTTTACCTGTCTGTGTACCTGTCTGTGTGCCCCTGTGAGCTTTTGGGTTGGGACCTTTCTCGGTAGCATACATAACTTAAGCACATCTGCGATCATACAGGGTTTGACATTTCAAAAGCTTTTTGTCTGACCAGCAGTCCAAAAATATTAGGCAAGCACTTCAGCACTCTCGCAATAGCATTTGATTTGGGTCACATTTGAGTTGAAAATGAACAGTGTGATTTGCATTTTTACTATCATGGGCATTATCTAATAATATTATAAGGAACATGGAAAAGCCATTTTCCTTAAAAGGCCAACTCAAATAGTGTGGAAATTAAAATGTATCATGTAAACTGTGATGGTTTGTAAAAATGTATTTACAATATTTTGCATTTCCAATTTTGCATATTGTGGCATAATGCACATGCTAAGAAAAGTAATATTGCATTATGGAATTTTCTCTTTGAATAATGCAAACTATCTCAATGGGAATTGAACATGCTATTGTGAGATTACACTTTCACTTTACATTTTTCTTTACTTCTTCTGCCCAGGAGTTGGAGAAGGTGGAGGACGTTTGGAGAGGAGAGGTCCAGGACCTGCTCTCTCAGATCAGACAGCTGCAGGCGGAGAACAAGAGGCTGTTAGTGAGCCTCTCTCTCAAAGACTGCCGCCCCGCAGAGGAAGACCTGCAGAAACAGGACGGTGGGTCGTCTGTGGCAACAGCTCTCATCCTTAGGTTCAACTCATGGGTTCTGGGAGGTTTCAAGAGGATTTATGGGATTATACGTGTTTTCCACTTTCTGGTGGAATAATTTAATTGAATATTTTATTTCCAAATTATACAAATACCCAGATTGGTATCAACACCAATATTTTAAATCTTTACCTGACCAATCCAAAGCAAATACCTTTAAAAAAAATGTGTTGTGCTATCAGCAACCTCTCAAATATGGAGATTTTCTTCCTTGTGTTTTATATTAAATTAAACTAAATACATTTAAAGATATCATCTTTCACATTTGTCTTTATTTGATCAGCATTATGTAAAAAGAAAACAAATGTCTGATTAGTCAATACATTTATAAATTAGTGTTGGTTGGAGCCCTACCGATAGACACCCTGAGTGGACAAATCAGAATCAGTAACAGGATTTGTCCCTGTATGGTAATCATACTACGTACTAATACTTGTTTCTAAGGGCATTTTGAAACAGTTATTAACACATCGATCTGAGAAATGTACCAATGCCAGTGAACTGGTGTGTTTGAGGTCTTGCTGTGCACAGTGAGCTGTACAGTATCTTGTGATGATACAAAATGAGTTCGGTCTTGGCTGAGAGTTCCAGCTCTGATCTGATTTATATACCATATGTGCTCACTGCAGATTTGTGTTCTGCTGATTAACCATCTGCTGCATGTTGCACATATTTAGTGTAGTCACATGGGGTTGTACAGTACATGTTGCATGCTTGCGTGTGAAAAGGAGGCTTTGAAGCGAGGCAGTCTGCAGCTTGTAAAGGAGACTATTTTTGTGTGAGACTTTCATGGTGGCTGCAGCTTTACTTACTGTCAAGGCCACAGAGTATACACACACACACACTGCTTATAAACACGCAATGAATGGATGCATGATATTATTACTCTGCTCACTCACACATTATTAGAATGGAAATGCAATCATGGAGTGACAGATGCTTTAATATAATAATCTCCTGCTAGATTTGCCTCATTTTGGTACAGACAATTAACTTGCAGAGACTTGAAAGTTAAAGACTTTTGAAGGATTTGTAATGTCCTGGAAGGTAATGCAATTCCAAAAAGGTTCCCTGCTGAAACTCTTATTGATGTAATGTTTAGATACAGATTTTAGGGTTGCCTGCCAAATGCATTGCACTTCGAAATCATTCTCATTGAATATGAACTGAATTATTGAATGTATTCAAAGGGTTGTTTTTTTGGCATTACTGAAAAACAAATGGTGAATTGAATGGTAAGAAATGATTAGTAAATGAATAAACATGAATGAATCAACCTGTGAGATTGCATTGATGTTGCATGTGTGAACTTATGTTATGATATCCACAGGAATGTCAGAGAAGGAGAGGCAGGTGATGAATAAGCTGAAGGACTCGGTGGATAAGCAGAGGGATGAACTCCGGGCTAAAGACCACGAGCTGACACTAAAAAACGAGGATGTGGAGACGGTGAGGATATAAAACACATACAGTATATAAACCGGCACAAACATTTTACATTAGTTTACAGTTGAAACATAGTATTTGAAGTCAGATAATATATTTGTTTGTAACTACAGCTCCAGACGCAGCAGCACCGGCTCATAAGAACCAACCAGGACCTCCGTCACAGGATCGGGGTGAGGGAGGCTCAAGGTAAGGCTCTGATCCAGCAGAGGGCCGGGCTGGAGGCTGAAGCCCAGGCACGGCAGCAGGAGCTGGGGGCGTTGCAGCTGGAGGTCAGCCGGCTGAGGAAGGAGCTCCAGGGATGGGAACTGGAGAGAGAGATACCGGATATTAAAGAAACCTCTCTGACAATATCTGAGTCGTCGCCACCTAAACCTCCACCGATTACGGTGAGAGACTCATCTTCAGCAGGCTGTAAACCAGGGGTGTCTAACTCATTTTAGTTCAGGGGCCACATACAGTGATCTCAAGTGGGCTGGGACCAGTAAAATCATAGCATAATAACCCTTTAAATAAAGACAACTCCAAATTGTTCCCTTTGTTTTACTGCAAAAAACAAATTAAATGAACTATCTTTTTACAAATGTAATTACTTTACATTCATTTCCACATCTGCGTATTAATCCTGACCTCCTGCACACCACCATATAACTAACGTGGGAACTATTAAGGAAGAAGGTGCCTTGTAAATATATACATACAAAATACATAAAAGTTGTGAAAATTGCAGTTAATGTCTTCGCTGTAATTTGTACACTTTGCTAAGCCGTATGTTTGACACACCTGCTGTAAACTATTGCACTTGAATGGCACTCACAGACCTCTGCCAAGGCCAAAGGTGCATTCAAGCGCTCCTTGGATGTTCCCATTTCCCGATTTTGAGAAGTGTTTAAGTAGTAATGTGAAACCAACATGAAGATTTTTTGAATGATATTATTCATAGGCAATATTCACTTTGATTGCCATATTTCTGAGTAATAAGAAAGCAACTTTACAGGTCACCAGTTGGGAACTTATTTTTCCAATTATTCCTACACCACATATGCAGCACAAATGTCATATCTCGCCATGTTAACATAATACAGATTACATTACATTACATTGCATTTAGCTGACGCTTTTATCCAAAGCGACTTACAATAAGTGCATTGGACCAAGAAGATACAAACTTGAAGAAAACAGAATCATATAAGTACATCAGGTTTCATAGAGCCAACACATTTCAAGTGCTACTCAACTGGCTTTAGATAAGCCAGTCCTTTATTAGTATATAAGTGCTTTGTTAGTAATTGTATCGCTCGAAGTGGAGTCGAAAGAGATGAGTTTTCAGTCTGCACCGGAAGATGTGTAAGCTTTCTGCTGTCCTGATGTCAATGGGGAGCTCATTCCACCATTTAGGAGCCAGGATAGCAAACCGACGTGTTTTTGCTGATGGGAACTTGGGTCCCCCTCGCAGTGCGGGGGCAGCGAGCCGTTTGGCTGATGCAGAGCGGAGTGCACGTGCTGGGGTGTATGGTTTAACCATGTCCTGGATGTAGGAAGGGCCAGATCCATTCGCAGCATGGTACGCTAGTACCAGTGTCTAGAAGTGGATTCTAGCAGTTACTGGAAGCCAGTGAAGCGAGCGGAGGAGCGGTTTGAGGGAGTTTGACGTCGATCCCCTCAAACATGTAATAGGTCCCTCCTTGGCCCATGCTGTCCTCTTTTACCAATCTTCATGAAATCGTGGTCAGCAGTTTTTCCATAATCCTGCTTACAACCAGAAAGCACGGCCTCCTTGGTGGAGTCAATTGCGTTAAAATGAGGTTCATCCATAGTTCATTTGGCAGGTGTTCTTGTGCCTAAGTGGATCTTTTGTGTTCCCAATCCAGCCTTCAACGTCAAACTCCCTCAAACCAAAGTCAGTGTGGGTGGAGTGTGGAGGGGACCCTGACTTCCTGGCAAACTGCTTCGAGCGTGAGAAGAGTCCTTCGGTTCTCCGGAGGTCATCGAAGAGAGAAAATAATAAGGAAGAGGATGACGAAGAGGAGGAAACCACAGCACTGTCACTGGTAACACTTGTTTCACTCTCTCCTGTACACAGACCGGTTATAGACCCACTATAAGACTATTTACAATAAAAACAAAGCATGATCCCTCTGTGGATCTTGCGTGTCCTTTAGGCTTCACAAACATTTTGGAAACAAATGTTATTATTATCTCATTGCTTTCTTTTGTGGTTCGTCGTCTGATATGTCCCCACAAACACCACGCAGATGGCAGACAGTCTTAACCCTCATGCTTGAGAGAAATGCTGGGTGTTTGTTCTGCAGAAGGTGTCAGCTGATACAAAGCCAAAGGAGGAGTCAGACAGCCTGGAGACGGACACACCTCGCTTCACCCTGCAGGAGCTGCGGGACGTCCTGCAGGAGAAGAATCAACTCAAGGCCCAAGTGTTCATACTGCAGGAAGAGCTGGCTTATTATAAAAGGTATGTATCTTTAAGATTATCTGTACTGTACATTAAACTCAGGCAAAGGTTAACAGTTACCTCTTCCACATCCCTCAGTGACGAGTTCGAGGATGACTCCATTGAGTGTCCTCCATCTCCTCCACCATGCTCCACTTCCACTGATCAGGTGGAATCAGGAATTAGACGCTTGTGAGTAATGAATCCGACTTGACTGTTGTACACCTTTTTTATAATTCACCCACGTGTATGAGTGTGTCAAGATGAACGTCACCCGCCTGTTTTAGTTCCGTCTGAAGGACTTTCCCTGTGTATATTTTCAGCATAGCATCCTACAGATGTTATCAGAGAGACATACTTTACGTGAAAGGAAGTTGGATTTGTTAGTGTAATTTGCAAAAACAATATTCAAAGTTGGCCTCTCCTCCACCGCTTGACATCACCAGCGATCCCAAGCCACAGTTAAAGTTAAAGGGGACCTATCATGCACAATGCACTTTTGTACGTCTTTTATACATGAATATGTGTCCCCGGTGTTCCAGGGAACTCACCAAGTGTCAGAAAACACAACCCTCTCTATTTTCCTCCATACCCAAATCTCTAAAAAAGGGGCTGCAACGGATCTGATAAAAACTGATCCAGATTTGAACACTGTCCTGACGTCAGGACGGTGGCGCTACGGCTATTGGACCAACTCCACCAATCAGGAGGAGACAGCCACGGCCATTGCCTTTCGAAAGCGCTGGAGACGTTGTAGTACATATGCCAGGCCAGTAGATGGTGCTGTCTCACTGATTGTCAAATTGAGGAAAATGAGGCATGGCTAAAATGCATGATCTGTTTGGTATTTTGAAGGAAAAAAAAGTATAAATATGCCTTATATAGGTATGGTCCTACACTATTATTATTCAAATATAGCATGATAGGTCCACTTTAAGGTGCTTGACCACCGATGGAAGCAAGCCCCAGATTCAATTTCATTTTGGGAACGAGCTTTGTCTGCTTGTCTTTTTGCCTCGCAAAGTTATTTTCCAGCATTGTCTTTGCAATTTCTGTGGCATTCGCTTGTATGTCTTGTATGCCCAGAAATGTCCCAAACAGAGCAAAATAAAAAAATGAAAATGAAAATGCAGGAAAAGAGCAGACAGTGAAACAACCACACACTTCTCGAGGGGCATAATTGAAGTGGATTATTTTTGTAATAACCTATACACTGCTTTAAAGAGAGATTATACTGATTCTGCCTTCAACTGGGGTTTCCCAGTTCAAACCTCCCCTCACATCCGAAACCTAGGCATCATATTTGACCAAACCCTCTCTTACAACAAATACATCAAACAGATCACCAAGACAGCCTTCTTCCACCTCAAAAACATCGCCCGTCTACGTCCATCCCTCCCCCCCACTGCCGCAGAAACCCTCATCCACGCTTTCATCACCTCCCGTATGGACTATTGCAACAGCCTCCTCTATGGTTCACCTGCAAAAATCCTCAACAAACTCCAATACATCCAGAACACCGCCGCCCGTCTACTCACCCACACCCGAATCCGTGAACACATCGCCCCCGTCCTCATCAAGCTCCACTGGCTCCCCATCCCCCAGAGAATTCAGTACAAAATCCTCCTGATGACGTACAAAGCCCTCCATAACCTGGCCCCATCCTACCTGACTGACCTCCTCCACAGACACACTCCCACTCGCTCCCTCCGCTCTGCTGCTGCCAACCTCCTGCCCCCCCCCCCCCCCCCCCCAACGCGGACCAACCTCAAGTCCTGGAGCAGCAGAGCCTTCTCCGTTGCTGCACCCACCCTCTGGAACTCACTACCCCAATCCATCAGAGATTCTTCCTCCCTCACCGCATTCAAAACATCACTCAAAACCCACCTGTTCAACACTGCATTCAACCACTGACCACCCCCACCCCCTATTTTCTGTTATGTTTATCTCTTTTTGTATTTTTCTTTGTTGTTTTTTTTTTTTTTTTTTTTTTTTTATTCTCTATCAAAGCGTCTTTGAGTTTCTAGAAAAGCGCTATACAAGTATCATGTATTATTATTATTATTATTATTATTATTATTTAACTGAATGTAGAGAAATATGTAAAACAACAAGCACTTTTTTTCATGTTAGATGTCAATACTTAGTGTAACTGATGTTCATTTGAGGGTCACAACCAGTGCCTAATAGCTTTTGTGTTTTCTCTCTTATTCTAAATGTCCCTCCTGCCAGGATCTTCACTGCCATAATGCCGATGGTGGCAGCCGGTTTGATTGCAGAGGACCCAACATCGCTGCCAATCAGAAGACTTTACTTTGTATGACCTCATATTAAATTGTATGGTTCTCATACTTTTTCTCACATCGCGCAAATGCCGGTGTTTCTCTCAACAAAGTGTGTCAGTAGACTTAAAACTGCATGAATGAACGAAGTCAACAATAAGATTTTGTAGCATTTAAGCTAACTTGGTAAGAGCTTTAAATCAACCTATGTACTACTTAATATGTAAGATAACTGGCAATACCTGGACATTATTATGTTTATTTATGACCTCAGGATTTTATAGCTTCATAAAAAGTCTCTAACTGTCAATGTGTCACTTTATATTTTACAAGAAAAAAATCATGTGCCTAATTTGGTGTAACTTTGCACATGCTGCTGTAATGTCAACACGTTTTCATTACAATGCTTTATCCAAATAGAAAAAAAGGGGTCAATGCGTTCTTCAAAAACTTTAAACTGACAAGGAAACCTTCTGTTATTTATGTTTTAAGTGATGTTAAGATGAATCTGATTATATAACAAATTATTGTTAAAGGTCCCATGTCATGGCCATTTCTACTGATCATAATTCCATTGTTGAGGTCTACTAAAATAAATGTATATTGTGCAATTTTCCAAACTCACATTGGTTTCTCATACAGCATCTCTGTATAGTATGTGTATTCACTCTCTGTCCTAAACGGCTTGTTGGAGCTCCTGCTCCCCCCTCCCTGTGAGCCCAGTGGCCGTCTGCGAGACACCGCGGAACTCAGCCTGGCCACACACACACACCCGCAGCCTGGCTGGGAGTTTGTGTGTGTGCCCAGGCTGAGTTCCGCAGTGTCTCGCTGTCTCGCCGACCCCACACCAGTGAGCCAGCTCACAGTGTCCCGCTCCTCGCAGCAGCGAGCCTCGCAACGTCCCGCCGAGTGTGTGTGTGTGTGAGGAAGTCCGCGGATTGGTCCAAACGTAACGGCTCCGCGGACGTAACGTAACGGCTCCGCAGATTGGTCCAAATACGTTACGTCACTATACCCGAAATACGTCACTATACCCAAGAAGTAAACAATGGAAAAAGAGAAATCTCCAACGAGGCGTTCTGGGGCAGCATAGACAGGTCTTTTCTGTGTTAGAGTTTTACTCGCTACAGGGTGTACTTTGAGGGTTTGTGACTCTGCAGACTGTTCACATGCATAAAAAGCTACATAACACACAAGGGGACGGGTAATAACCGGAAAAGCATGACATGGGACCTTTAAAGTATGATCATCATGTGCCTCTGGTTTCCACCAAGAGACTGTTTTAGATAATGTACTTAGGCCCATAATTGATGAAAAAAGGTACTGCAGAGAGGCACCTCACCCTGCGTTCCTTTTCCAACAATAATTGTGAGTAATATAAAATATGCTTTAACAACCAATGTGATCTGGGTTGCACCTGAGAAATAATGCTTGTTCAGAATAAAGTCATATTTTTATTTTTCATCTTTTGAATGTTGTTATTGGGATACGATATACTTCAAGCTGTAAACAATGTCTCAGACTACTGGTTTATATAAATAACTGTAGCGAATATACAAAGAATAGAGACGGAAAATGCATTCCAAAATTAACAGTTGTTGGTGAGTACTATCTTATGGATGAATATATGTAGGGTTACCCATTCATTTCCTATAGAGGTTATTTTTGAAAGGGAACATCATACAGTAGGTGTTACAAAGTTGACTTAAACACTCAAAATGTTATAAAAGTGCACTTGTATATGTGCAGATGCCTACTGTGGAGGACATCATAAGGCCTTGAGGCAACCAAATGTAAAACTGTATATATGATTGATGGAAGTAGTAAACCAAACACGACAGGAGGGTTAAGTAAAAGTCATTTAAATTGTACTTCAGTGTTTGATTCAATATAATTGTCCCTATAATAATACTAAATATAGTATACTATACCGCAACATATATAAATAGGATCAATATAGATACAATGGAAATGATAAGCAGTGTAAGTGGGTAATTGAGAGAAAGAAGAAGGCTGCAACAACATTTTAAAATCACGTGCTATCTCACCTGATACAGAGACACGTCAAAAACAAAGAGCTCTCACTCACACCGTCTACACATGACCGACATTTCATTCACTTGGAAAAGACGACCATAGTTTACGAAACGCCAGTGTTGATGAGGGAGTCCTCTTGAGTTGATATACGATCTTTGTACTCACCTGTCGCTAGGATACTTTGCCCTCCTCTGCCGCCACGCCATTGGTGGACGAGTGATGGGGGAAGTGCTGCTGTAAGTTAGGTACCTTCTGCCAGTAAAACTGTACAGCCGAAGACAAACAGAAAGAAGAAAACTCAATTTTTAGTGCATTTTATTCTGACATTCAAACATTATTCCGTCATGGAGTTTGGTGAAGAGTCGTCGCCTGCTCTGGCTTTCGATAAGGACGCGTTTGAGCTGACGGTGGAGGATGTGTATGATATTTCATATGTTATCGGTCGAGATTTGTTAAAAATCAGCAGCAAAGGCGAAGCAGTGTCGGACTTACAGTTCAGGATAGTCCGCGTATTGGAAATGTTTGAAACTTTAGTGAATAAGTACAACTTGTCTCTGGAGGAGCTGAAAATGGAGCGAGACAACCTGAAGAGTGAACTGGACCGGATCCTGCAGGAGAGATCCTCTGGGCAGGGGACGGTGAGTAACTATAATAATAATAAGGTATTTACTTTTAGTTTATTCCACTCATGGAAATCATTATAAAACATGGACACGTTTTTGCAGCACATGATGGAAAGTAGCAGGGAGGAGAACATCTTATTTGACTTGCTCCTTATTAAAAAAAAAGATAATAATAATAATTGATGGTCTGTCAATCACAGCAGCTTACAAATACTTACAGTAACATTAAAACCAAAATCACACTCATAAGATAACACAACAATCTACCATCAGCTAAACAGGTTACCTGACATCTTCATACTGTCCAACTATTCTTTCTTTATACATTTAATCAAACCTAAAGATGTTACAGCCCTAATAATTCCACAGTTTAACACACACTACAGATATACAGATCTGCTTTAAAGTAGTCATAATTCATATATTTACTTATAATTTACTAATTGTAACTGATGATAATAAGCTTTATTTGTATAGCATGTTGCATACATCAGGTGCAGCTCAAAGGGCTTTCGCAACATGGCACACATGACAAGTTAAAACAAAAAACAAGAAATTCACTTCAGGTCAAAACCCCTTTTTGCACACATGCAGCACAACAACAACAACAACAACAACAACAACAACAACAACAACAACAACATATAAGTTCAAGGGACACAGGGAGGTTAAAGGTGTGACAGGTAAAATAAAATAGGTAAAATATAATAAAATAAACAATGATCCAGCACTCGGTAAAATAAAGGCATATGCTTTTCTCCTCTCTGCCATTACAGCAGACAGCGGGTCCGAACCAGCTGCTGGTGGACCTCACGGACCCCAACAGACCGCGCTTCACCATGCAGGAGCTGAAGGAGGTTCTGCAGGAGAGGAACCAGCTCAAAGCTCAGCTGATGGTGGCTCAGGAGGAGCTGCAGCTCTACAGGAGGTCAGGGGCTTTTCACTATCAAAAGTCAAGGAGTAGTGAGAAATATGCATCACAGTTTCTATTAAATTATTTAAAATGTGTTGGCTGAACTCCATATTTTGCACTTTCCCATTATTTAATGAAAAACGATTTAAAAATATTTATATCTGAATTGATTATCAAAGTAATTGGGGATTATTATTCTGTTGATCGATAGCTCCAAACCAAAGCTAACTCTAAAGCACTGGTTTATGAAATTCATGTAAACTCTTATGCATTGTAACTGCATTATAATGTAAATATAATGTTTAATTATTCATTAATGGAATTGTTTTAGTGAGTTTTTATGTTATTCTTTCATAGGTGTATGTTTTAATGTTGTGAGCCAGACACATACTACCATCATGTGATAGACAATCAAGTTACTGTTAATCTTGAATTACATGCACGTCAATACAGCACCTCAAGCCAGAGCCTCAGAAATGACTAAACAGCCGTATCAACACCTCTCTGACACAATGACATCAAAACTGAACACTATAACCTTTCAGACAGGATTTATGGCAGAGCTGATGTGAATTGTTAAGATGTTGGTAATAAAGTTGTGGTTACTCAGTGGGAACATAAACAAATATAATCATGATCATTTCCATGAGAATGAGAGAATGCGCTGTAGAGATCATCTGTGGTCCCTCTGTTAGATACAAAATCATTATTAGTACTCATTTTACGCACACTGACATTTTCAAAATAAACACCAATACACAGTTTTATCCCACCGATACCTTCATTACTTTCTCAGAATTAAACATTATGTTTCTTACTTGCCAATTGTAATCCTGAAGTAAACCACAACAATATCAGCGGCCCGTTTAGGCTCACATCACCAGTAGAAATGACCTGGTTACCTTTAATCTAATCATACCTGATAACAATGTTGATTCTAGTTCTGAAGGCTGAATTAAAAAGTAAATCTTTTGAATATATCTTCAACTTAAAAGGGTGGATTTTGGATGAACAACACATCTGTATAAAACAATTCTCAGTGACCATAAAGCTCTACTTTCTCCTGCAGTGGGATTCTGCCCCAGGCTGAACCTGCCATGGTGGAAGTGGATCTGGACACACCAGCGCACACAGAGCACAGTAAAGCCACGATAACTGATGCAAAAGAGGAGAAAACCACCATAGGCAAACTGTGAGTAGACCAAAGGTTCATTCATTGTTGTCTCTAATAATGTCTCTAGTAAGTCATTTGAAAGAAGTACCACCAAGTAACACTTATTTTAAAGGTCCCCTATTATACTGTTTTTCATCATATATATTATAGGTCTCAGATATGTACAAAACATGTCTCTGAAGTGTTTGGCTCCAAACACCAAACAGATCATTGCAGCATCCCATAATCCCCTCTGTTTCAGCCCTGTTTCAAAAGTGCTGATTCTCTGTCTGTTACTTTAGATGAAAATAAGGAGCCACTCCCCACGCCCCTCTGAGAGAGATTTGGTTAAAAAGAACACAAGAGGCGCTTTCACACCGCAGTACTTTTCCCACAAAGGTTAATGAGAACTTAGTTCATCAGAACTCTTTAGTTCTCATGAACTAAGTACAGATCGCGTTCACACCGGAATAAGTTCCTGGGGAAGGATTAGGCAAATGAAGCCGCTGACGTCACTTCTTCTTCTTCTGCTTTGGGTTTACTGGCAGGCCGCAAACAACTTCACGGCGTATACTGCCACCCGAAGTCCCCGGCCGGAAGTCCCCGGAGTTGGGGACTGTCTTCAGTAGAAGCTGCTGGCACTCCCAGCAGCTTCTACTGAAGCCTTCCGAGTAAATCGCCAGAACGCCGACACCTCCTCATCTCCACCGCTCCCATGTTTTCTTTTGTGTTGCCATAAGTTAGTCTCTCTGCGTTTCTGCGCTGGGCTAATGCTAATAATGCTAATGTGAGGATAATAAAATGGCGGCTTCACAAAACCTTTTGGGAGTTTTACGGGGCGTGGTTTGCATTCCGCCCAGCCAATCAGACATAGGAACCTTTTTCTCCCACGAAAGTACC